AAAGTGAGTTAAGAAATTATTGAAGGGGAAAAAAAGTGAGTGAAGAAATTATTTAAGGGGAAAAAAGTGAGTGAAGAAATTATTGAAGGGGAAAAAAGTGAGTGAAGAAAATTATTGAAGGGAAAAAAGTGAGTGAAGAAATTATTGAAGGGAAAAAAGTGAGTGAAGAAATTATTGAAGGGGAAAAAAGTGAGTGAAGAAAATTATTGAAGTGGAAAAAAGTGAGTGAAGAAATTATTGAAGGGGAAAAAAGTGAGTGAAGAAAATTATGAAGGGGAAAAAAGTGAGTGAAGAAAATATTGAAGGGAAAAAAGGTGAGTGAAGAAATTATTGAAGGGAAAAAAGTGAGTGAAGAAATTATTGAACGGGAAAAAAGTGAGTGAAGAAATTATTGAAGGGGAAAAAAGTGAGTGAAGAAATTATTGAAGGGAAAAAAGTGAGTGAAGAAAATTATTGAAGGGGACAAAAGTGATTGAAGAAAATTATTGAAGGGAAAAAAGTGAGTGAAAAAATTATTGAAGGGAAAAAAAAGTGAGTGAAGAAATTATTGAAGGCGAAAAAAGTGAGTGAAGAAATTATTGAAGGGGAAAAAAGTGAGTGAAGAAATTATTGAAGGGGAAAAAAGTGAGTGAAGAAAATTATTGAAGGGGAGAAAAGTGAGTGAAGAAATTATTGAAGGGGAAAAAAGTGAGTGAAAAAAATTTTTGAAGGGGACAAAAGTGATTGAAGAAAATTATTGAAGGGAAAAAAGTGAGTGAAAAAATTATTGAAGGGAAAAAAGTGAGTGAAGAAATAATTGAAAGGGAAAAAAGTGAGTGAAGAAATTATTGAAGGGGAAAAAAGTGAGTGAAGAAATTATTGAAGGGGAAAAAAGTGAGTGAAGAATTATTGAAGGGGAAAAAAGTGAGTGAAGAAAATTATTGAAGGGAAAAAAAAGTGAGTGAAGAAAATTATTGAAGGGAAAAAAAGTAAGTGAAAAAATTATTGAAGGGGAAAAAAGTGAGTGAAGAAATTATTGAAGGGGAAAAAAGTGAGTGAAGAAATTATTGAAGGGGAAAAAAGTGAGTGAAGAAAATTCTTGAAGTGGAAAAAAGTGAGTGAAGAAATTATTGAAGGGGAAAAAAGTGAGTGAAGAAAATTATGAAGGGGAAAAAAGTGAGTGAAGAAAATTATTGAAGGGAAAAAGGTGAGTGGAAGAAATTATTGAAGGGAAAAAAGTGAGTGAAGAAATTATTGAACGGGAAAAAAGTGAGTGAAGAAATTATTGAAGGGGAAAAAAGTGAGTGAAGAAATTATTGAAGGGGAAAAAAGTGAGTGAAGAAAATTATTGAAGGGGACAAAAGTGATTGAAGAAAATTATTGAAGGGAAAAAAAGTGAGTGAAAAAATTATTGAAGGGAAAAAAAGTGAGTGAAGAAATTATTGAAGGCGAAAAAAGTGAGTGAAGAAAATTATTGAAGGGGAAAAAAGTGAGTGAAGAAATTATTGAAGGGGAAAAAAGTGAGTGAAGAAAATTATTGAAGGGGAGAAAAGTGAGTGAAGAAATTATTGAAGGGGAAAAAAGTGAGTGAAAAAAATTTTTGAAGGGGACAAAAGTGATTGAAGAAAATTATTGAAGGGAAAAAGTGAGTGAAAAAATTATTGAAGGGAAAAAAGTGAGTGAAGAAATAATTGAAAGGGAAAAAGTGAGTGAAGAAATATTGAAGGGGAAAAAAGTGAGTGAAGAAATTATTGAAGGGGAAAAAAAGTGAGTGAAGAAATTATTGAAGGGGAAAAAAGTGAGTGAAGAAAATTATTGAGGGAAAAAAAGTGAGTGAAGAAAATTATTGAAGGGAAAAAAAGTAAGTGAAAAAATTATTGAAGGGGAAAAAAGTGAGTGAAGAAATTATTGAAGGGGAAAAAAGTGAGTGAAGAAATTATTGAAGGGGAAAAAAGTGAGTGAAGAAAATTCTTGAAGGAAAAAGGTGAGTGAAGAAATTATTGAAGGGAAAAAAGGTGAGTGAAGAAATGATTGAAGGAAAAAAAAGTGATTGAAGAAAATTATTGAAGGAAAAAACTAGTCATGAAAACGACTGAATTCGAATTTTTTTTATTGAATCACGCAAATGATATATAATATGTTCGCATCATTGGGCAGTAGAAAATATACCGTTTGGTGAAAATAATCGCGGTATCTGCAAATAGCTCTGCGCAGACCACCTCCTCAGGGGCATCGTGGCCCCACTGACCAACCACAGGACCCATCGAAGGACCCACCGAAGGACCCACCATTGGGATTTTAGACCAACAACAATGCCATTGTGTTTTATTCTAGTTCGAGTGAATTAAAGTCGGGGGGGGGGGGTGGGGGCACAATAAATCTACATCGACGAAGAAAAAGTCACCACCTCTCACTCGACAGCGTCAGGGGGTCTCCCATCGATACGCCGCAACCTGCCACGTGGCGAGTTCGACACCACAAAAATACCGGCGCCGGATCTCGGTGCGCGAGTCAACTTCTGCGTCAAGGTGGGGCTGGGCACGGGTGACCACCGAACTCTCTCGTCCGTCGTCAGCCGCGGGTGTCCGCTGGTGAAGACGCGAGCCCTCGAGCTCCCGAGCCGTTAAGCTCTTCTCTCAGCCGGCCTCGCGATGGGGACGCCCAGAACACCGCTTTCGAGATTGCCCAAATCGAGTGCGGCGATTTTAGCGTCCGCGTTGTTACCTTTGTTGACGTTTTTTTGTTTAGTTCTGAACAACAACGACAACGACAACAACAAAACGCGCCTCCGACCACCGCGTGCGTGCCACAATGGCGCCTTCCGCGTGCGGCGTTCGCGCTCCCCTCCGCAACGACCCACGCGGTGACCCTTTTGGGCGACGCCGCCGCGTCCGTTCTGAACTAGGGGCGGCACGTGGAGGGGGGGGTGGTGATGAGGAAAACACCGCGGATTCTCAGCGTGGCGGCCGACGGGGGAGGAGGAGGAGGAGGGGAGGAGGAGGAGGCGCACGCGACTAACGGAGCAAACCGCTGGGTGCGCAACACCGGATCCGTTCCCGATGGCCACCTCGGAGGGTGCAGAGGTGGGGGGGGTGGAGGAACTGATGGAAGTCGGCGCCCGGCTCGCGCGATTCTACAGCGGTGGGGGACGTCCGCGTGTCGAGCGCGCAGGCGGTGCAACTGCACCGAAGCTGCCCGCGCGCGGGGCCTCTACGAAGAGGGGAGTAAAAAGGACTTGGTGGGCGGGAAGAAGAAGCAGTGGGGGGGGGGGGGGTAGGCGGGAGAAGGGGGACAAGGGGCGGCCGTGTTTGGCTCTTGACTCCAGGGCCAGGTGCCGAACCGCGCCACGCCTCCGACATCGAAGAGAAGAGCCGGGGCTGGGGCAACGCCGCTCGCTCGGCACTGAATCAGTCGATGGGGCGACGCGGGCGACAAGGAGGCGGAATCAGCAGCACGCGCGTGTCCCCCGGTGACCCTCCACCCCCCCCCCCCCACGGTGAGCCTCCCCTCCCCCCCTCAGTGATCCTCCCCCCACCCCCCCACGGTGACCCCCCACCCCCCCCCCCCACGGTGAGCCTCCCCTCCCCCCCTCCAGTGATCCTCCCCCCACCCCATCACGGTGACCCCCCACCCCCCCCCCACGGTGACCCCCCCCCCCCCACCCCCCCCAGTGACCCTCCCACCACCCCCCCCCCAGTGACCCTCCCCACCCCCCCCCCCCACGGTGACCCCCTCCACCCCCCCGGTGACCCTCCCCCCACCCACCCCAGTGACCCTCCCCACCTCCTCCCCCGGTTACCCCCCTCCAACCCTCCCCCCCTCCCACAAAGTTACGAAGCGGACGAGCATAGATGGTCGGGCAAAGATTCTCATCGCTCCGACGATGACACAAAACAAAAATAAAATGATGACCGAGGGAGTTCGCCTTCTCCGACGTGCGTTCGGGACAGTGAGGGAGTCCCTTTATTTTGTTGTCGTCGTCGTCGGACAACATTGCAACATTGCCCGACGTTTCGCGTCGCACGTCGTCTGCAGCAGTTCCTTAAAAAACCCAAAACAACGACAACAAAAGCAGCTCCCAGCTACGTGGGGGGAAGGGGGGGTGGGCGAAAACGTCGGACTCACAGCAACACGGCGCGCGCACGGCCGCAGAAACCTCGACGCACGATGAGTGGCAACAGTCACAACAACAACAACAACAACAGCAAATGACAACAACAACAACTTAATCTGTACAATATGAACAATGTGTGACGCTCGTTTGCCTGCTCGTACGTTTGTTTCGGGGTTCGTTTGTTTCTCTTTTCTTTTACACAATAAACATTCAGATAAATTAATATATATTTCATGATTTCCATGAAGCCGGGAGACAGCCAGCCGACTATTCACAAAACGCGTTGTTGTTGTTATTGTTGTTTTCGTCCCCTTAGCGTTCCAAACGCGATCGATTGCGCGCCCAGTGGCCTCCTGCGCGTGGCTGTCTGCCGTGGCGTCGCCCACCATCGCTTTGGACGATCGGCGCGACGGTTAAACACACCGTGGTCTACGCTCCAAACACCGTGTAGGAACACCTACATGGCACAAACTCTCTCGATCTCTCTATCCTGAAGCCCCTTCCCTCGTGGGCCAGCAGCAGTCGTCGACATGAGCATCGAACTCCTGAACCACGCTGCTACCGCCATCCGCGAGAACAGCGGTCACCACCTAACACGTGTCTAAGGTGAACATTGCATCACGGTGGCTGGGAGATGTTAACCACCTCGTCTAGTGTGCAGGATGTCGTGGGTTCGATCCCGGCCCTGACGCCTGCTGTGTACTTGGGAGTTTGCGTGCCTCTCTCTCTCTCTCTTTCTCTCACCGCGCTCGCGTGGATTTTTTCTCCTGGTCCTCTGGTTTTTCCCTCCGCATTTTAGCATCAACGTCACGCGTTTTAGAGCGTTTGGCTGCTATCAATGTCCACGTGATGATAAGCCAGTGAGTTCTGCCATCATTTGTGACCGCCAGGGCGCTTCTGAAAAAGAGCTGAACAGCTCAGTGGGATCTTACTTTGCAAAATAAAAATATATAGGTCAAGTTCCTTTATTCGTGTAATCGTCCCGTGATCAGTTTACTACGCGGCGTTGATTCGCTTTCAAAGTCTCGCGTGGCTCTGCCGTTCTGCGGCGCCGATTGCGATCTGCTTCGATGGCGAACTTCACTTTGGTTGTTGGGCTTTTTTTACCACTTTGTTATTTGACCCAGGTCACTCTTCGCAAACAGGGACTCCCTCGCTCTGGCTTGAGACGAAAGACGTTGGGACGCATGCTTGGATCGCGAAGTAGTGCACACGTGACGGCCGGTGGTTCATTTTACCGATTTCGACGATGGAAGTTAATCAGTGGCGCATTATTGTGTGTTGATTAACTGTGAATAACCCACACCGATAATAGATTTCGATTTAAAGCTTTTGTGACTGCGGGGATTCATATTCTTGGTTCTTTCGGTAAAGTCACGTAGAAGGGAAATAATACAAATAAAACATCATAAAATGCAATTTGTCAAGGCGCCCTTCCTCCTCCAACCCAGCAGCTTAAATATACGCTGCCAAGCTTGGTGGTGTTCATTCAGACGCTGTCTTTCCGACAGACCTGTTCTTCACCTGAGGACGGCTGCTTGCGTTGTGGCCGAAACGTCGTGAGAATTGTATTTTATTATGTTTTATTTTTATTATTTTATCATTTCCCTTCTACGTGACTTTACCAAAATAACCAAGAAGATGAATTTTTTAATACAACGTTTCGCTGGAAATTACATCCAGCCTCTTGATGAGGTGTAATTACCGGTGAAACGTCACAGTACTCGGCTTTTAAATGTTGTTGCGGGTTTACTCTCCACAACGCAACCGGTGTGTGCTGAACTAGTAACGAATTGACACGTTTTATCAACGTGACAGACCTCGCTGATTGGCTGCGTCGGGTGGTGGTGGGTTTAACGACGACACATTTATATTTACGCGATCTAATCCAACAAAAACAACATCGTCTGTCATTGACAACGATGGCAACAAAACATTGTCATCACATCTGTTCTTTGATTACGAAACACACGGTCTCCTTGTGTCTAAAGCCAACGTGAAAAAAAATCGCACAAAGATGAAAACCATCGGGTTCAAACCACAGGAGGTATAAACCATCATCGCGTGAACTCCGGCCATCCTCGCAGCAGCAGCAGCAGGAGCGGTGGTGGCTTTTGGGTGGCCGTCAAACAAAGGCGGTGGTCACCGCATCATCGTCACCATCGCAGCGCTTTACCAGATGCGCTTCTGCGGCCGTCTGGACCGCTCTTCCCTTCCGCTATTAGGAACTCGCTGGGAGCTATGGCACGTTTAAATCCCGATTGAAAACACATTTCTTCAAAACTGCTTTTCATGTTTCGTCTGTTGTCCTTCGGCCGCACCTCCAATGAGCACGGTTTGCTAGGTAGCGTGCGGAAACAAGTTCCACATACATAGGTGTATATAATGTCACCTTATATAGGCACTACGCTGGCTTTAGGCACGTCGGTCGGTCGGTCGGTGGGTGTATTCTGGGTAAGGCACTTTTAGTTTTGAAGCTCTCTATGTATCGCGACCAATATCATTTGAGATGTGGACCAGGAGGAAGAATCAGAGAGCAATAGCCCCAGAGGAGAGGACTAATGGAGAGAAAAAAAATGTCTAATGGCATCGACGGCGGAGGAACGCTAGTGAACGAAAGAAAAGGGGTGGATTGAAGACATCTTATGAGCGTCCGGGTCGATGAATGAGAACAGAAAGAAAGGGAGGACGCAAGGCAAGGTAATGGGAGGAAAGGAATGAGGATTGGGGGTTGTTGAAGGAGCATGAAGTGAGGGGTCACTTGTGAAAGTGAAACTGTGTACCTGTGGCACACCGCGGGAAGGAGAATAGAGTCGCGGATGTAATGTAGATGTCAGGGATGATGATGATGAGAAGGGAGGGAATAGAGGGAGGTGGGGGGGAAGAGAGAAGGAAGGGAGCAAGGCTGGGAGTGAGCTGCACGGAGGAGCGGCGTCTGTTTTCATAGTGGGCGTCGCTAGCCGTGGAGAGGGGAGGGATTCAGAGTGGGGGTGGCCAAGCAGGAGTCACGTGGTTCAGGGGAGGCTTGAGCCGATTGAATTCGAGATGAAGGGCAAAGGAGGGCAGAGAAGGGTGGGGATGGTGGCGGTCAAGGAACTTCCGATAAGGCACAGAGACAAATGGGAAGACTCAGGCTAAGGCACTGTTGTGTGTTTTTGTGTAACGTTATGTAAGTGTGTTGGAATTTCTTTCGCGCCGTACATAGCCAACCGTGCTAATCGGAGGTGCGTGGGTGGGGGAGCGCTGTCAAGGACAACAAACTAAACACACGCAAAAAATCTCACCACCACCATCATCATCATCATGACCATCACCATCATCAGCAACCATGGTCAATCCCAAAGCCGACGCTCTTGATACTACGGCCCTGCAGAGTCTCGGCCCGCAGGGAAGTGCCGCGGTGTTGACGCGAAGGCGCTCGCTGGTGCTGCGGGCGGTGGGCGTCGCAGCCACGCGAAGGGATTTGCCGCCACTGCCGTCGATAACCGGGCGGGAGGGGGCTCGCGTGATTTTTGTTCCAACGTCCTCACGGGGAGGTGATCTCCACAACACCGCGGCGGCGGCGGCGATCCGCGGCCCCCGGGGGTTCGATCCTCGTGGTCACTTTCGATCACTTTCGATCTTTTGTCAATTTTTTATTTTTTTCACATATAATCTTTTTTTGTCCAGCGACGTAAAAAAACTAAAATCACGAAACGCACGCTGCGCCAGCCACGTCGGCCAGGCTGCTCCGTATTCGTCATAGAATAAAGAACAACGCGTCAAAACCGAGTTCATTCCTGCGGGAGAAAGTTCGTTGGACGACTCCTCTACGGGAGAGAGGGTCGCGCAGTTTGGGGGGGTTTGGCACTTTGGCTGATAAGACGTCATCAGGGTGAAGAGGATCGCCTCAGATTTAACCCATTGCGGGGCAGCAGGGGGGGGGGGGGTTGACAGCAGCACGGTGATGATGATGGTGATGGTGGGGGGTGTTTTCACAATTTGTGTTCGAGGGTGGGGGGGTGGGGGCGCACACGTCGTCGGTTGCCCACGGGCCTTGCAACGAAGAACGCCACCGTGGCGGAATACTCGGTCGGGTTCCGTTTGTTTCAGCGAGGCCTCCCCCCCCCCCCCCCCGTTAACGTCCCAACGACGACGACGACGGCCGTGGCGCCGGCTCCGGCGGGCCAGCACGAGCACGGCACGCTCGCTCTTCATCACGTCAAACTTTATCTGTAGGAGTAAAGTAAAAAAAAAACGCACGCACGTCCTGGGAAGATGTTGCTTTGTTGTTGATTGTTGTTGTTGATGCGACGCACCAACGTGAAACGTTGTTCCCCTCGACTGCAACGAAGCAAAACGCCGCCACAGTGGATCTGAGATGTTAACTACTTCGCCTGCTATGCAGGAGGTCGTGGGATCGATCACGACTCCGACGCCTGCTGTTGTGTATCTGGAGGTTGCGTGTCTCTCTCTCCCCGTGGTCGCGTGGATTTTTCCACGGGTCTTCCAGTTTTTCCCTCCACATTTAGAACCAGCGTCACACGTTGAGAGTATTCGGCCGCGACAAGTCACTTCATTTTTGGCAAAGTCGCTTCTGAAAAAGAGCTACATCACTCAGTGGTAAAATAAAAAAACAGTTTAAAAGTTTCATTTGATAGGCTCCCGGCAGCCGCGGCAAACACGCCGAGAGCCACGCCGGCCACCCTCGGCACTCTTCAAACCTCCGGCGCTAACGGTGCAGAGCAGGGGCGGCGGCGCTAGCGGTCCCCCCGACGTCACACGGCGGTCTCGTTCCCCTGTCCCGGCTTGAGCCACCCGACGGCGCCGGACGCCGCGGCCGCGGCCGCCACGACGACGCAGCCCCTGGCGTCCTTCTTGGTGCGGGCGCCCCCCACCAGCCTGCCGGAGCACCTCCTCCACGAGCCGAGCGTCTTGGCCGACCAGATCCACATGCCCGAGGTGATGCCCACGAGCAGCGACATGAAGATGCGCACCATCTCGACGGCGACGGCGCTCGGCTCCCCGGGCGCGCCCCGCCTCGCCGGGTCCCAGTTGGAGATCTGGTAGAAGTAGCAGGCGATGACGCACGTCGCCGGCACGGTGTAGAGCACCGAGAAGACGCCGATCTTCACCATGAGCCTCTCCAGCTTGTCCGTCTTGGCGCCGCCCTTCTGCAGGTTCGAGCGGATGCGGAAGAGCGCCACGAGGCCCGCGGCGATGAAGAGCGTGCCCACGACGAGGTAGGTGAAGAGGGGCGCCACCACGAAGCCCGTGAGCGCATCCAGGCTCTGGTTGCCCACGTAGCAGAGGCCCGTGAGCTCGTCGGCGTCCACCTGGCGCATGATGAGGATGACGATGGTCTTGAGCGCCGGCACGGCCCACGCGGCGATGTGGAAGTACGAGCTGTGCCGCTCGATGGCCTCGTGGCCCCACTTGAGGCCCGCCGACAGGAACCACGTGAGCGTGAGCACCACCCACCAGATGGAGCTCGCCATGCCGAAGAAGTAGAGGAAGAGGAAGACGATGGCGCAGCCCGTGTTCTTGAGGCCCTCCTGGATGAGGAACGGCTCCGGCGCCGCGTCCTCCAGGTCGCAGGCGAGCTGCTCGCGGCCGACGGCCAGGCGCACCACGTAGGCCACGCTGTAGACGTTGTAGCACCAGCTGAGGAAGATGATGGGCCGCTCCGGGTACGAGAAGCGCGACGAGTCGATCATGAACGTGAGCACGGTAAAGGCGGTCGACACGAAGCAGAGGCCGGCCCACACGGCCATCCAGCGGTCAGTGAACTCCTTGGTTGGGCGGCCGTAGAGGCCCTTGTCGTAGCCGCAGCGCAGGGCGCAGCGCCCGGCGCGACGAACCCACACGTACTGCTCCCAGTTGGGGCCCATGTCCCGGCACTCGGGACTCGGCGCCACTACGACGGCGCCGCCGCCGTCGGCGTCGTCGTGCCGAGCATCCGGCTCGTCTCCGCCGGCGCCGCCGCCGACGCCGACGAGCGACGTCAACTTCTTCCGCCCGTCGTCCGCTTTGCCGACGCCGTCGCCGCCACCGTCCTCCTGCTCGCCGGGGCCCTCCATGCACATGTGGTTGTGGTCGTTCTGCGGCGGGAAGCGGCTGCAGTTGAGGCTGTCGGGCCACGAGAAGCCGAACTCGTTGAGCACGGGCTCGCAGCGCGTCTTCACGCCCAGGCACATGCTGCCGCACGGTCCGATGGGGATGTCCACCTTCTCGGTGCACATGGGCACGTAGACGGAGCACAGGAAGAACTGGCGGAGCACACGAGCACGCGCGCAACGTTCTCGATTAGCGACAGCCATAACGACGACGACGATGATGATGGCAATTGTTATTGGTGTTCTCGCGATAACAAAGCACATTCATGTATGTTCAGCAGCGGAAATGTTAAAGTGCCCGGCTTACGCACGTATGTATGTAACTTTGTGACCCGCCCCTAGTGAACGTCGGTGAAAAAGAGCTTTATAGCTCATCGGATTCCTCCAGGATTCTCCTTTGAGGCTGAGTCGACCTAGGGGAGGCCCAGGACCGGTTGAACTTTTCGCCAAATGTCGCTGGGCCCACGAGCGTGAATTGAACTCGGCTTGCCCGGGGGTTCGCAGCGTAGCGCGCTAACCGTTGCGCCACCGCTCCCAGTTGTACAAAGACAAAGATCCTCCGTATAGCCTTAACAGACTGTAGGGGCAAGTGCTGTTAGCGAGCGCCTATGAAGGCCAGAACGGAACACGAGGATGTGGGTGGCCAGCACCACGCCCGACCGCCTTGGCGATGTTCACACACTCATTTGAGGCCGAGTCGACCTAGGGGGAGACCCGGGACCGGTTCAGATAATCGTCACCGGTGTTGGCCGTGAGTGGAAATCGAACCCGGGCGGCCATGTCCATAGCGCAGTGTCGCGCATTCACGCGCTGGGGTCGGGGTCGGGAGTGGGGGCGGGGAGGGGGGAGGGGCGGGGGGCGGGGGGCGGGGGGAGGGGGGAGGGGAGGGGCTGTTGGTGGCAGTCACGCGTCAAAGTTGGCACGTGGGCACCGGCCACTCGCCGCATCCAACATTGGCGAGCGCGCACTCTCTGCGTGTCTCGCTCGGCATGCTCCGCCTTCCAGACCCGTGCCACGACATCGGCACCCGGCAGGGCACAGCACGTGAACTCCTTTTTAAAAATATTTAAATCGGTTTTATTTATTTTTTTACCAGGTGTAAAGCTCGCTGAGCTGCAATGAAGCACTTCTTCAGAAGCGACCTGGTAAAGATAAATTATAGCTCGACGCAATGGCCGATGTTCACGTGGAAATGTATAGCAGCCAAATAACTCTAAACGCGTGATGTTGATTCTAAAATGTGGAGGGGGAAAACCCGGAATGAAAAAACCCACGTGACCACCAGGCGAGAGAGAGAGCAAACTCCAAATATACAGCAGCAGGCGTCAGGGTTGGGATCAAACCCACGTACACCAGGCGAGGTAGTTAACATCTCCTAACCACCGTCGCGTCCCAGCAAATCTGTTGAAACCGTCGCTTAGAGAGAGAGAGAGGGCTCTTTGCACGTAACCAGCATTGGTTTAAGCGAGCCTGACTGCTGCTCCTGCTGCTGATGATGATGTCTTGAACCAATGCTGCCGAAATTACGCACTCCCAGAAGGCCGCGCGGCTGGTGTAGGGGATGGGTGTCACTTTCTGACTCGCTCTTGATTGGAAGCTTTCGTGACTGCACGAATCCATACTCTTTGGTTATTTCGGTAAAGTCCACGTGGGTACAAAAATAAAAAATAAATAATCTATCACGACGTTTCGATCGCAACACAAGCGGTCGTCCTCAGGCGGAAAAAAATATCCAGCAGTGGAACTACTGAACCCCATACATCTGTGAAAAATGACTTCATAGCTCATCGGATTCCTCCAGTATGAATATGTATTAGTCTGTGTTTAAGAAATACGGTATTTATCACGTGCAGAGACCGATACGATGTTGTCTGCTTATATTAACTTCGTAATTGGACAAGTGTGAAAGAGAGCTTCACATCTCATCGGATTCCTCCAGTTTAAATAAATATTCTGATATTGATCATTCGGCACCGCTAATCACTTACGTCGAGATCATCCGCAATTACGCGGTTTTATCGGCGCGCGCATCCGTGCCACCACCACCACGCAGCGCTCATCATCATCATCTCGTGAGCATCGCGCCCGGGTAATTGACGCTGTGAACGACCCAACGCAGAAGACCCCCTGGGATTGATCTTACACGCAGCTGCTCGTGGTCCCTCACCTCTACATCACATCCACCACACAAACCATCGCAGCAGCAGACGCAGATAACTGATGATGATAATGATGATGATGCACAAATGGAAAATAGAAAACTATCCCGCAGTGTCGGTGCGACTGTGGTCATCCAGAACAGAGGCCGGACCACGTTGAAGCGACGCAATGCCCCGATCCACAGATGCACGAAGCAGGAGGCATCACAGCGATGGCACTACTCCGCGTAGCCCTGACGTGGTTACCTCGACTCAAGGCCCTAACAATGGAGTCAACATTGGGGGGGACCAAATCTTCCACGGGGGTCTGGGGGTCTGGGGGTCTCCCCCCCCCCCCCCCCAGAAAAAAAATCTAAATTTGAAAACAAATTTACTTCCATTTCCTGCCTAAAATATAAAAAATGCAATAACACATAGGATTGACTTTTAATTTATGACATTAATGTCTAATAGTATATTGTATTAGACTGCTCTGTTTTTTATTTTTTACCTTTTCTTGTTTCATTGTAATGTAATCGCAGAGATTAGGGATTAATAAAGTACAACCAAAACCACAATCATATAAACAGAAATCTATTTTATAGCAATATATTTGGGGGGGATATTTTTAGCATATTTGAATATTGGGGGGGATGTGTGTGTGTCCCAAGATATATTATAGTTACGGCCTTGCCTGAGCTTCAACCCGCCTGCAATGTGAAATAGTAGTCGTTGACTTTGCCCCGACACCAGCGAGCCACACGACGCCAAGTCGGAGAATTGACGCTCGTTTGGAAGGTGTCTCGTGTCCGAGTCTGGGCGACGCTCCACGGCTGGTGAGATGCTATCACGGCTGCGCGCCTCACCCCCGACTTTTCGCGTCTCGTAACAAACCGCACGCGCCTTTGCCTCCCCACCTCCACAGCCTCTAAGACAAAACAGCCGCGGCCAGCCCCCTGCTGTGAACGAGTGCGTCCCAACGAGCTCCTACCTCGTAGGCCGCTTGCAGACGAACGCAGCAGGGCAAGTTTGGCCAGGAGGAATCAAGTGTTCTGTCTACGTGCGCGTGTGTGCGCGGGTCGACTCAGCCTCAAATGAGTACCTGGTGCGATGTGTAAACATCGCCACTAGGGAGACAAAGGCGGCCGGGCGTGGTGTTGGCCACCCACCCCCTCGTGTGCCGTGCCGGCCTTTATAGGTGCTCGCTAACAGCACTTTCACCTACAGTCTGTTAAGGGTATACGGGGAATTTTTGTCTTTGTACGTGAGATCATCGCTCTGTCCACCCAACTACTTCACTTGCCAGTTAACGAAACCAAAACAATCGCTTCTCTCTGCCTCTCGTGGCACAGACGAGGGGAGGAAGGGTGGAGGGGCGGGGTGGAGGGGGCGGGGTGGAGGGGGGAGAACGGGACGAAGGGTGAAAGACGCCGAGCCTGAGGAGTCTCGCGTTCGGACAAAGATTCTCCCCGAGCCCTCTAGGAACGGCCCAAGCACGGCTACGGCCTATTGTCTAAGCGTCGTGGGAACGCTGCATGGGCCTCAATACGTGAGTGCCCCTCCCACACCCCCCCCCCCCCCCCACGTGTTTGAGGGGTCCCCTCTGCGAGACTTCGTGGAGGTGACTTTCTGCCTCGAGTCGTCTCGACCTCCTCAACTCGTGGGCTCCGTTGGTGGTGAAGTGGCGACTCGTAACGCCGACTCTCAAGTCAGAGCTCAGAGTCAGCGCGTTCGTTCATCCTGGAGAAATTCAGCAGCATTCGCAAATCGGTTGTGTTATCCCCTGGCACACGAACGTCGAATTTCCACCACTGTAACAAAAGATGTGCCTGACTTGTTTTTACTTTCAAAAATTATACTTCTTTGAGGAGGAGGGAGGGAGAAGGGGGAGGGGGGGAGGGGGCAGGAGGGAGGGGGGAGGAGGGAGGGAGGGAGGAGCGAGAGAGGGAGGGAGGAGGTAGGGGGGAGGTAGGGAGGGAGGAGGAGGACCTAAACGCTGCTGCACAGAAGATTAGCAGCGTCTGTTCTCACAGTGGGCGGTGATGGAATAAATGGGAGGAGTTCAAAGTGGGTGGGGGGGGGCACACGGAAGTCACGTGGTTTACCAAATAAAGTTATAAAAATCTGGTCTGGGACACACAGACACGCACACACTCCTACCAGCTTATAAGACGCGCTCCCAACTGTTGCTTACAATACATCGTGGTGAGGTCGGGGTGGGGACAGGGGGCAGTGCGTCTTATAATCCGAAGAATACGGTAGACACACCAAACAGTGAACGCAATTGTTTCAACACGGGACTTCTTAAAAAGCCAAGTTGCCGCAGCAGCTTTGACAAAGGTTAAGAACTAAATGACCTCTTGATTAGCACGCTGGTCTAGCCACTGCTGGATGAGGGCCTCCCTGCGCAATGCGGACCGTGGAGCAGGCGGAGGTGGTGTCGGAGGCTTCTATCACCAACTTTTCCACGTTGTAGTGATAGGTTTTTACCCTTTCAACTGGTACAAAAACTGACACCTTTATACAAGGCATCATGTTTGCAATAACCACAACACAAGCAGTCAAAATGCAAACAAAAAATAAACAACTCTGATGATGATAATGATATGCACTGTCCTTGAAGTTGATTGGTCCACACCTGAGACAGCTTTTCTTAGAGCCTAGTAGTCTCCATTGGTGTTGGACCAGATGACGCCAAAAGGCGTACACTCAAAGACAGCGCACTATCAGAGTATTGAGAGCTCGGGGTAAGCATTACACTATGAGACATCTCCTTTACCAGTGGCAAAATATAGTGTTTAAAGTTAAAACCGTCGTTGGGAAATCAAACCTCAAGTCGCCGGGCCCCGTTGTTGCAAGTGCGCTAACCGCCACCCCGCCTAACATCTGGCCTTTCACAATATTCGACACAAGACGAGACAAATATTACCCCCTCCCTTATAGCCCTACCAGACGTTTTGGGGCAAGTGCTGTTAGAGACCCACTTATATGAATTTGGAGAATCAAACCTCGAGTCTCCAAGCCGCCGGTGGTGCAATGCCCTAACAACTTCGCCCCAACACAACACAACCGCCACCGCCACCACCACCGCTTTCACAATAATCGCACGAGGCAATCGCGCGAGCACGTGGGTTGACTTAAGTGACAGCGAACTGCGTGGCCACGGTCCATTAGCCGTCAGCAGGGCGCGCGC